AAGAATGTTTTTGTCAGAGCTCTGACTGCTTTGCTGCAGTTTATCTCCACACTAAGAAGGATGTACATTTTAATTGTAGAGAAGTAACTATGCCATCACATTTAATGCTTTACACAAGGTAACTGTTGGGAACTTCAGTGCTTAACAACTTGCCATCTCTTGTATTTTTCCATGTCAGTGCCCCTTGTATCCACACTCACTGTTTGAGGGGGGGGGGGGCAGACCTCTCTTTAGACTGGGGCTGAAGCCAGGCATCCTTCCAAAACTCAAGTCCCCCCCCCCCCCCAACCCTCTCTGCTGGGTATAAGCACTGCTTTGTGCCACAGTACTGCTCCCTATGGTTCTTATTCATTTACTACTACAACACCCCTGGCTCCGCTACATACTGGAATCTACAATTGGAAGTGTACCCAAAACAGCCTGCTGTTTGACAGACAAACTCAGATGTTTCCTCATTAAGTCAAGCGTCTGGATTAATACACCAGAATGCAGGAGGAAGATTTGCACTATTGCAGCCTGTAAGTTTGTATTGAAGTGCCCGTTTCTGCCTGGAATGTGGCTGCGGCATTTGTTGGCTTAGGCTATCGTGAGGGGTATTGGAGAGCAGGAGCAGAGTAAACACATTTCAAACGGCACAGCACAACCGAGTATTAGCAAATGATCCGATAGCATCTGTAATCCTCGGGAAAACCTGGAGAGTTGTTTTTGAATAGTGTTAGCCTCGATCAGATAGTTGGCAGGCACCGGGGGTGTCCACATGTGTGACTGGCTAGCGGCGCGGCTGAACGCTACAGTATGCAGGCAGATCAGATTACTGAACGATTAGCCATGGCCTCCTATCCCTGGCCCAGGGAAATGATTTTCCACTGTCATAATTCCCTAGACTGAATTACGCAGGCCAGTGACTCAGAGATACTCAATACTACAGGCCCGAGTCCTGCCCTGCATAACTGTTGCTCTCTGGAGAGGGGAGATGTGGTTGTACTATTGTCGCACCGGAGGACACAACGGTTACCTAATTGGGATTTCTAGTTGTGCTCAAGCATGGCAAGCAGTGTGACCCAGCATCAAATGGAGCAGAGGGTTAGCGCCACTGGGATGTATGTACAGTCCCAAAACTGTAAACTGTCCCTCACACGTTTTTCTATTGTGAGACGTGCGTCAAAAGTGTGAGCGCATGTCAGATTGGCGCTGAGGCGGTGTAAGCCAAGCAGGCCTCTAGTGGAATTTTGGGAGAGAGAGAGGGAGAGAGAGAGGGGCAGGCTAGCAGGGAGAGGTAAGACCATGTTTCCAAGGTGCCTACCCCCTGAGGCAGGAATCCGATACATTCCAGAGGTTCCTGTATCCAGACGAATAATGGTGACCAGGGTGTAGCTTTTCATCCGATGACACATGATGGGAGCGTAAGTGCTGGGAAAGTAAGAGCTATGTCACAGGCTGAGAGGTAGGCAGCTCTGGTTGCCCGAGGGGTCGGGAAATGTGCCAGAAGAACAGGACGGGTTGTATGAGATATGGATTTATCCCCAGCACAGGACAGCATGTTTTTCTTTTAATAGGTCCTCTAGTTATCACACCCCACGCCCACTCGCCACCGGTTAGACGTAGACTTGTTCATCATTTTAGGCATTTATGCGACACTCTCAAGATACAATGAACGGCACCGTAGGAGAACTCTTAATCGTCTTTTGCACATTAAACGCTGTTATATTCTGATGAGGCCCGTGGAGGCTGCTAAACTGGTACTTAAATGACTTCTGACCAAAAAAGTAATTAGATCCTGCTCGGCTACTCAGACAAGTTAGGGCATGAAGCTGCTTTCTTAAGAATCGTGTGTCATTGCTCTTCATGTGAGACTAAGATCAACACCTGTGATGACGCAGTATCAAGAACCAAATCTAATTTTCTCCGTGAGTTTTCCGCCCCCAGAAATGTGTTTCTTGCCAGCTCCTGAGCTAAAGGCTATTTATGTCGTAGACACAGGAAAAATACCCTGTTTTATTTAGTGGTAAAAAAAAAACAAGCTGTCAGGTGTTAATGGACTTCACCTCAGCCTTTCCGGCGGACTCTCGGGGTACAGCGCATTCATGCACTCGGCGAGGGAGCTCTTGGCACTGGCCTGTTAATGAAGCCGTTTCTAGAGATGGAGAGACGCAGTAACGGGAACGCACCTCTTCACTGCAGGATATTCTAACCCTGTCCTCATCAGAAGTGCTATCAGTCATCGGATACGATTATATTTGCTTTTTTTTCTCTGTCCATAGAGCCAGTTGGAAGGCCTCAGCGTTGCATTGAGGCATGCTTATCATTTATATTGAGGATCTTTGCTGTATCGGGGTCAAGATTTTGTTTTCGTACTAGGAGAACAGGAAATCTGCGATAAAGACTGCGCTGTGTAACTGTTAGACATGCTACAGGTGCTGATGTGAGCACGGGGGGCAGACGGGGGGGGGGGGTCTGTATGTTTACCCAGTTGTCTGGTGGCCTCGCTGGTTCTGGCTGCACCACAGATCTCACACACATACTCTCACCTACTTCAGAGCTGACGTGTGTACGCTCATTTTTACTGCACATTATGAATGGTGCCTTGCTGAAAAACACTTAACTAACGTGCACATGTATGATGTAAAAGGCCAAGTAATGTGTTATCATCAGTATCATATCAACGCTGATCAAAATATACACTGGCTTTATTTGGGACACCTAGACCAAGTTAGGTGCACCTATTAACTTAGTCTTTAGTCAGTGTCCCTATCTCCTTAACAAGTGTAGTTGACTTTGCTTCTACTGTTTGACTGTTTTTCCTGAAAGCTTATACAAGACCACAGGCCGCGGCCCCGATGCCGTCAGGAAGACCGTGCTCGGTGTTTGCATACCAGAGTTTGTGTTTACAGTGATGTCATGGTAAGCAGGGATATTGCTGGAAAGCGAGGAGTGAACACCTACACGAGGTCACGGTAGAGGTTTCAGTTTTCTTTTGTGAGCCTGCCGTGATGACAGAGAGTGTTGTTGGCCTGTGGTCTGTGACACGGCCTTGAGATCAGACCAGGTCGGGGCTTTGTGGCGTCCTACCAGGACGGCAGGACGAAGTAAACTTTAGCGGGACATCTGGTGCCCGGTGCCCCTGTGCTCCTCACGCTTCCCTCTCTGCCCCGTCTCTTAGACCTCAAAGCAGACCAATCCACCACACCACAGCAAGTCATCTGGTGTTCAGTCGGCTCCCATCTGTGAGTGTATTTGGCTTCACTGCAAACAAAGCATTGCGGCATGCAAGCAGCCTCCGCTGCATCTAAACAACTCGGCTGCTGCTATCTGGCGCAGTCTTTGGGTGGAAACTATGAGTGCATCGCCAGGGTTATGGGTCATCTCCATTTCAGTTCATTAAATTGCATCGAGGCATTGAGAATCCACCGTAACAAACTGACCACAGCTGATGGCATACCTCTTCTCCATTTTGAATTGCTGAGGTGGAAAGTATTGTAATGGTGCCGACCCGAGGTTTAGCTGCTGGCAGCTCCAAGCGTACCCCTCCACTGATCCGAGGCGGTGCCGTGTCTGCCCATCCTGCTGTCTCTCATCCATCCTGGGTGGTAGGAAGGTGTGTGTGTGTGTGTGTGTGTGTTTGTGTTTGTTTGTGTGCGTGCGCCTGTCACTGTCTGTGCAGGACAGGTGTCTGCAACCCTGAGGTCGGTCCAGATGCAGCTGGGGCATCTAGACAGGAGAACGGCTGGAGACTGCAAATGACAGCAGGATGAATGAGCTTTGTTTTGGCCAGTTATATTCAGAGCGTGCAGCCTCGAACGGGGTCAGTTGTGATGGTCAGGTGGTGTAACGTCCGGGAGCTCTCAGCGGGACGCGCTGCAGCCGCGAAGCATTCGAGGCTCGGCGGCTGTTTGGGTGAGGAAGCTAAACTAAAGGAGCCAAAGTGGGACACGCAAGTCTGCAAATACAAACACCACCCTACCCCCGCTGTGAAGTGTTAAGTGGCCGGATATGTTGGGTGAATGGGACACAGGTGTCTGGGCCACGCTGTGTGCCTGGCCAGAGGTCCGTGTTTGTTTTCTCTCCGTAATGGCCCCCAAACTCTCTGCTGCAGTGCCACCAGAGCTCATTGGCTCTCAATGGGCCGGGATGGAGGCCCCCCCCCCCCCATTCTTTTTTTCCTTCTACGGTTTGACTGAGCAGTGGATGAACTTGAGTCACCAATTTGATAATGAAATTCAAGACATCCCACAACCCACAACACAATGCTGAGGCTACACACTGAGCAAGCCTGGCGATTCTTTTAGATTCCTCTTTCTTCCTTTATTCGTCCCTTTATCCCCCCCCCCCCCCGTTGCCTCTGATCTACTCCAGCAAAGTAGGCGTTTGAAGTTATCAATACTCTGGCTTTACTGTTGAGTCCTCAAAGTGCTTGTGTGACAGGTAGAGGAGAGCTGCAGGGGAGTAATGTGACTCCCACATAGTCCACTGTCTCCATCCTCCACGCCCTTGTCTCCCACTTGCCTCCTGCACACAGGCGTCGTCTCTGTGCTGATGTCACTGCGCTGAGTTCCCCTTTGTTGAGTAACAGCCTAAAGGTGCGCCATGGGTTATGAGGGAGACACACACACACCGCCACCATAACCCCATACTGTGCCTCCCCGGGGAGCGCAGCAGGGTGAGGTAATGGGCTGTTAACCCCTCAGCAACCTCCATGTTTGACCGTCGGGCTGTCAGCAGTGGCCGCTATCACCACCCTGATCTGATTGTTTGAGTAAACCTGTGGCCTCTCCAGATGGCCAGGCCTCTGAGCTGGTTTATGATAACCATACAGTTAATATCTGGCCCACATAATGCTCTAACCCCCCCCCCCC